AGGTGTGAGCGAGGTGCAGGTGCAGGTGGCAGCTGCTGTCGCCTGGGCTCCGACTCGGGGTGACCTGTGTAACAGAAGGAAGCATCACCGGCTCCTGTGCCGTCTCCACGATGGCTGGTCTGCTTGAGCTCCTGGTGTGGGCTGTGTGGTGCTGGATGCGGTTTGCTGGTATTCTGCTGAGGATTTTGCGACTGTTTGTGAGGAATGTTGGGCTCTGGTTCTCCTGGGATGCTGTCCTCAGAATCAGGAAAGGTGTTTCTTTTTAAATCATGCTTTAAGTGAGTCCCAAACATGTCTCAAAATCCAGTGATGACCCAAGTCCTTGCCCGTGGGAGTCCTGCCCCGTTGACTTGTGGGAGTGAGAGGACCGGAGCCTGTGGAGCCTGCTGCCCCAAGCTGGGGGTTGTCTCTTCCCTAGTTGGAGGAGGAGGACAAGTGTGAGGGAGTGCGCTGCACCCTGCGGCCAGGCCCCTGCCCTGCCCTCACCGGCACCCAGCCCCACTCACTCCGGGTGGATTTCCTGTCTGGAGGCCCCAGTCACAGCTTTAGCGCCCCACCCGTAAGCCAAGTGGGCACCAAGGGAGGATATGCCCCAGGGACGCTGAGACATGAGACCAGACTGCTGGACGCATGGCCCCAGCTCTGCAGTGGACGTGTGGCCGGTGTGCATGTGGCTGGCTGGTGACTTGCACCTGTGGTGTGGTGACATCAGTGTGTACAGTTTCTGACTTTGGACGGGATTGTCCTCTGACTCTTGGTGATCAAGGCTAGCAGTGGCCTGTGGGGGTGGGGCATGACAGGGCAGCGACTCGTGGCCCTGCTGGTGGTGCTGGCTGTCTGTGCAAGATTGGGTCTGGGTCATCTGTCACTGTCACTACCCCTACCCTGTGGTCTCTCTTTAATGCAGGATATCTTGGCGCAAGTCCTGCAGATCTTGCTCAAGTCCAAGCTGTTGGTATGTATGCCGTCCCGGTAAGCCGGCACAGAGGCTGCTCCTGAGAACACGCGGTGACGGCTGCTTTCTCACAGGTCTTAGAAGACGAAAATGCCAATGTGGATGAGGTGGAGTTGAAGCCGGACACCTTGATAAAGTTGTATCTTGGTTATAAAAAGTAAGGAAACTGGGCCGAACGGTGCGTCTGGCGCCCCCTGCCCTCCCTGGGGCTGCACTTGGGGGACGGGTCTGTGCAGCCTGGACGGGGTCTGACTGAGGCCGCGGACTCCACGCCCTCCAGCCCCCCCCGACTCTGGGTGGGGATTTCGTCTCCAGTCACAGATTACTGGACAGAGGTGTCTGCTAGATGGTTTACAAACCTTGGGCCCACTGATTTTCAATTGCTGTAATTTTATTTCACTTCACAAGGTTGGGGGCAGGGGCGGGGGCCCGTTGGGAGAAGCTGAGCGGCCCCTGCGCTCACGCGCCCTTCTCCTCCGCAGTAAGAAGCTAAGGGTGAACATTAATGTGCCCATGAAGACAGAGCAGAAGCAGGAGCAAGAAACCACACACAAAAACATTGAGGAGGACCGCAAGCTGCTGATTCAGGTGGCAGGGCGTGGGGGCGGGGCGGGGCGGTCCCGGGGTGGGCAGAGCCCGCGGGCCTAGCTCCAGGCGCTGCTGCCGCCGGTGGGGTGGAAATGGGCGAGTTGAGAGGCCAGGCAGGGGCAGGCAGCTGACGTCAGATTTTATGACGTCATTGTGACTCACCTTGACCTCATGGGAGAGTAGAACTGCCCCCTAGGGTTTCCCAGCCGTCCTCTTGATGGGAGGAAGCTGAGCGCTTATCACTCTACCACCAGGCCTTAGGTCCAGTGGCTTCTGAGACTAAGGGGAACAATCAGCCTGTCAGGTTAGGGGCCCCAGGTGGGCAGCCACGCTGCCTCTCCCACCCGGGTCTCTGGGGCCTATCGTGTAGACGGTCCCAGGTGCACAAGCCTTGCCGGTGGGCTAGCGGCCAGCTGCCGCCTTGGGCCCCTCCTTCACCCGTTGTGGCCCCACAGGCAGCCATTGTGAGAATCATGAAGATGAGGAAGGTCCTGAAGCACCAGCAGCTGCTGGGGGAGGTGCTGACACAGCTGTCCTCGCGCTTCAAGCCACGGGTTCCCGTCATTAAGGTAGGGCCACACGCGCTGGGATCAGAGGGTGGTCGGGGTGGACTGTAGCCATTTTGATGGGGGTCCTCAGCTTGTTTGTAGGTAATAGACCTTTCCGGCCTTCGACTGGAACGTTCACGGACGGTGCCCAGGGCCCCGGTGCAGCCGGTTCTCGCCCCGGCCTGGGCCCACTGGAGCCACTCAGGGCGCCTGATGGTGTGTGTACAGCCCCAGGGCCGCCTGGGCCCGAGCCGGTCACAGGCCCGCTCCTGGTCTGCCACCGCTTCAAGCGGGAGTGGTCAGAATGCCCCTTCCCGGAGCCCCACAGAGGAGCACTGGCTGGGTCAGCAGAGTGTGGGCAGTGAGCACCGGCCCGGGGTGCTCCCACAGGCCTGGCCCCAGCCTGGGGCTGGCAGCGAGGACGCCAGCTGTGTCACCCAACAGCTCCTCTTTTCCCAGGCATCACGGCGGCGGGGGGGGGGGGGCTCATTTCAGAGAGAGGCTGGGGACCTGAGACCACCCTAAGTCAGAGTGGAGGACAGGGATGACTCAACACCATGTGCACCCAGGGACCATCCTGACAGCAGCTGTTTTTTTCCCTTTTGCTGCCTTGTCCTCTACAAACACGGCCAGAAATGTATTGACATTCTGATTGAGAAGGAGTATTTGGAGCGAGTGGACGGTGAAAAGGACACCTACAGCTACCTGGCTTAACCTCCTAGAAGGGTGTGGCCATGTGACTGTGCCGCGCCACTCAACGTGAGGACGTGAGGCCGACAGGGCTCGGCTCTCGGCACCCGGGCCGCCGCCTCAGCCGAGACCGCCACCCCAAGGCAGCCTCAGGCCCCGAATCGCTCAGGACTGACACTTACTCCGTCTGTGTTGACGGACACGCCATTTAATCTAATTTAAGGACCGAGGGGACGGGCCTCCGCTGAGGCTGCATGCCACCACGTCACATCAGCACACACTGCTGTCCTCGCAGCCGGAGGGCAGGCCCGTGGCCATGCACCACTGCTGTGGAGACCTTTGTACAGTGTGCTTCATTTTTTAATGTGTGAGAATAAAGAGAATTAAAGGATTTCTGTACAAGTCGCATTTGGTTTTGTTTTAAGTTTTACTAATTTCTATATGTAAATAAAAGAGAGAATGATTATGCAGTTTTGTCTTCCTAGCGTCTTGCTGTGGTCTGAGGTGGCTGCATTCAGTGGCTGGACCAGGCTGCAAGCCCCTTGTAATGTTTGCTGTTTTAGTCCAGCTTCTTTCTGCAACTTCTTCCTGTAGGGGCTGGAAGGTAACACTTGTGCACAACGGGTTAGTCCTGACATTTGAGGGCTCTCAGGTGGAGAAACAGGCAGGGCCGGGTGGCAGGCCCTCGTTTGCATGAGCAGCCAGCAACCGTTTACCACAGTCCTAATCGCTATTCCAACAAAAGGGACCGACAGTTCACCGACAGAAACGGCTCTCACTCGGGGGAGCAAGTGAGCAACCTGTGTCCTGCAGCCTGGGCCCATCTCCAGACGGCATCCGAGTAGCTGCTGGTAAGTGGACAGCTGCTCAGAAGTCAGAACCGTGACGGTGCAAGCGGCGCCTGGCTGTCGCTGCAGAGGGGACCCGAGGCTGTCCCCCCAGGTCCACGCACTTGCGTATACACAGCCCTGTCTTGGTTCCGCAGCCCCTGTGGGCTTCTGGCTCTCCCGTTCACTCCTGAGGCGCCTGTGGTCGCGTCCTGGGGCTGCAGAGAGCTGCCGCCGCCGCTGGATCGCCACGTGGGCGTGCGGGGTCCACGGGGCTGCTGGAGGAGCAGGGTGCCCCGCGGGTGGCACACTCGCGCGAGGTCCTCACAGACGAAGCAGGTGAGGCACAGAAAGCGGCACTGGGGAGTACTTCCCCGCTCGCTTCCGCAGATGTGACAGTCTCCTACACGCTCGGCAGGGCCCTCCAGTCCACTGTTAGCAAGCCCACCAGCTGGTGCTCTCCTGGCCTTGGGGAGGAACGGCTGGGACCCAGGGTCCTGAAAGGTGGAAGGCAGATGGCCTGAGCTTCCAGTGGCCCTTGTAGCACAGCACACCAGATGACTCAAATCTGTTCTCCAGTCTAGAGGGCCACGCTCCGTGTGACGGCTCTGGGGAAGGTTCCACTCCTGCCTCTTCCAGCATCTCGTGGCCTCATCACTCCAGCCACTGTCTCTGGCTTCATGTGGCAGCTTCCCTGTCACCTTTTGCCTTCTCAGACCTCACTTTCAGGATCACCCCCAATCCTCCGGTAGCAAAATGCCTCAGGAACTTGACTGCTAACCAAAAGGCTGGTAGGTGAAACCCACCAGCCACTCCTCGGAAGGAAGGTTGGGCAACCTACTTCCATAGTGATACCCCCTCAGAAACCCAAGCAGGGGTCACTGAGTCAGGTCCGACTCTACCACACATAACTACTCCTATATGGCCTCATGCTAACATTGGTACCACTTGCATAGACCCTCTGTGTGTAAGCTCAGTTCACAGGTCCAAGGTTAGGATTTCAGCCCACAAGGATCATGAGTCCCTTGGAGTCTAACCAAACATTTCCTGACAGTGGAGTAAGACCCCCTGATTGCTTGTTCAACTGTTGATCTCACCAGGCCCAGACACAGATCAAACACCCGTGGAGTGACATCTGTCTGCAAATGCCCATCTGGGGACTTCACCTGCCTCGGCCTCATCCCTCCAGGTCTCGCACAGCCCGGCGGTGAGCCAGGGAACCTCGGCATTGAGAGAGCACGGACCTCTCACGTCGCCTACCCCATGTCCCCCATGTGATGCTGACAACACACCAAGGACTAAGGCACCCAAAGCTCACTCGCCCTGTGACAGTGTGCTTGGGCTGTCAGCTCACGTGAGCTGAGGGGCCTGTGTTGATTGAATGCGCATATGCATGCACTATGTCATCTGCAGACGGTGTCACCTGGCACCTATTCTGACAGCTGGAGCCAGAGTGACAGATAAGACACTTGACCTGAAGCAGCCCTGGGTGGCCATGGTTTGCTTCTCTTCCCTGTGAGTAGGTCCATTTCCTCGCGTGCCTTTAGTTTTTTGTTGGCAACTGGACGTTTCAAATGTACTAACTGGGCAGTTCTGGAAACGAGACTCCTCCTCCCCCAGCGTTTGTTGTTGCTCCTTGTTGGGGGCTGCTCCGTTACTGACTGGACCGCTGTGGGAACTCGGCCGTTGTGTGTGGTACTGAAGTCTCCCCGTCCTCGTGGCTACCACCCAGCCGCAGTGCTCCCCAGGACTGAGAGCGCACTGAGGCTGTGGGTGCACGTGAGCGGACGGAGCTGGAGTCCTGTCTACTGGAACCAGCTAATGGGTGTGCAGGGGGTGTTGCCATAAGAACAGTGGCCACAGGGAGAACCGAAGAGAAACAAGACATGATCTAAAGTGCAGTCTCACTTTAGACTAGAACCAGCGGGAACCTTGCTTTGGTGCTCCTGGTGCAAAGATGTGGCAGAAACCATAGGTGGTCTTAACCTAACCCACTTCACTTCCTGTTCTGGAAACGCCTCTCTCACTCTAGAACAGCAGTGGTCAACCTCCACGGCTGCCATGGACTCTCGGTGGGCTTCCCTCACAGGTGCTGGCGTGAAACCACACAGGACGTGGCGCCCTTTCAGGAGGTAAGCCCAGTGTGGTCCCACAGGCATCTATGTGTTGACTCTGTAGGGCTGTGTGACTGTCAGCTCTGAGGGTCACCTGGCCCCACCATCTCGTGAGAGAGAAACAGACCTGGGAGGCCCTGCCCCGCTCCTGGCATCCCACGCAGTTTGACGTCAGCCCTATGTTCAGTGTCATTCTCCTGGTCGACCACCCTCCTACCTGGTGGCAAGCGTGCAACAACAGAGCAAGGGAAATTCAAGTCTTTATTCAAAGTTGAAAACGTACCCCATGGCGTTACCGCAAAAGTCACTGGTACAAAACACTGTGCAGCTGGTGAGAAGGCGCTAAAAGTGAGTTTTCCAATTCATTACTATAAATAATCGTTACAGTACTTTTTTGCCCATTCGGAACTCGCACCGCGCGGCCACGTGGCCCCGGCACCAGAGGCCCGTTCCGGGAGGCAGCGCACGTCAGGGGACCTCCATCTCCCTCTCGATGCCCACGTACTTCAGGGCGTCAGCCTGGCTGTACCTGCAACAACAGGGCCGCCAGGGAACCACGCTCATCACGTCTGCCCGGCATCCCGGCTGCCAGGCAAGGAGCAGCCAGCGGCCACAGCGGATGCCGCCCCAGGGTCTCGGCCCCACCCCCAGCCCAGCTGCAGCCCCTGCGAGGCTCACCCACCACCCTCTCGATGCCCACACCTAAAGGGGCCGGCTCAGCGCGTAGGTGCAAAGCCACACACGTGGTGTGAGAACAAGACAGTCGGCTCTAGCCACACTGGCCCCGTGGGTGCCTGTTAATCACCAGGAGGACAAGGGTGTGAGGCCGTCTGCTTTGACAGGGCCGTGCCGCGGGCCCTGCCTGGAAGGCTCAGGGTGCCAACCCTGACGACTCAGGCTCGGGGAAAGCATGCCGCAGAATGAAGCTGCAGTGACCACGCGTGCTGGAGAGACCACAGACGCGGCAAGCTGCACAGCTGCAGCCCCGCCCGTCCTGGGAAGGGCCGCCCCGATGTGACAGACGCAAGGTCACAGTGTGTCCCACCTCCCCACTCGAAGCCAACACTGGGAGTGAGCGTCACCACCCGATGTGACAGACGGCAGGTCCCCACACACCCCATCTCCCCACTTGAAGCCACGCTGGCAGAGCGTCACCACCTGTAGTCAAAGAAGAGCTCCTCGCCCGTCTGGATGGCCCGCTTGGCAAAGATGCCGATCCTGTGGTCCCCGTTGACCATCATCACTGGAGAAGACGCAGACAGGGAGTGAGGCAGGGAGCACCGTGCAGGCCCGTCAGTGCCCAGGGCAGCAGTGTGCAACTCCCAGCACCTACCTTTCGCGTAGCAGTTGGGATTCACCGAGTGGTTGGCAAAGCGGATTTTGTTACCCTTGCGAGTTGCATCCACCACAAAATCTACAGAGAAAGAAGCAACACAAAAGCGGACACGTTCACTCACACATCAGCAGACACGAAGGCACGGGCATTCTGGAAATGACAGGCTCTGAGCACCAAGGTTCATTGTCTGAAGCTGACCGTTCACCAGGGGCATGTGGACCCTTGCTGCTTTCTGGGTTAACAGTAGTCACTGGCCATTCACACTGCCTCCCCGGTACTGCTACTTATCACCTGCACACGGATCACTGAGCCAAATATGACAGGACAGACTGTCAATTCTGCCCAACATCAGGAATGCCCCTTCCCAAGTGGACGCTGTCTGAATATCTTTCCCTGTGGAAGAGCTGGAATGGCAGCCTAGGGGCACCTGGTTGTCAGCAAGGACACCCCCAATGGTCCTTCCATTTCCCTGTGGGGTGGGCATCACCAACCCAGGAAGCTGAGGCTGCCGGGCCGTGCCCAGTGGTGCACATCCAGGGAGCAGCAGCCAAACCCTCCTGCCCCGAGGACCCACAGCGACACCTCGGTACCCACTGATGCATGTCCACAGTGAGCAGCGGCCAGCCCCCCCACCCCGGGGGCACCCCACACACCATTGTTGAGGTTGAACAGGAAGCTGCACATGTACTTGTCATACACTTTCCCTCTCCTGTCAGCCTCGTCTTGGGAGATGATCTGCAAGGAAAGGCATGGAGAAGTGGGGGGTCACACCTGCAGGATACACAGGCCATTGTGGGCTCTGGGAACACGCGTCCCTTACAGATTTCACACCGAGGTGAGCGTGTACTTGGCAGAGCTACTACTCCGCCTCCACTCCTGGGCATCGCTGGACACCAGAGACGGAAGTTGTGTGAGACTGGACAGAACTCTGGGGACGGAGCAGACCAGACCCGTAAGCCGGCAGCCAGAGGGCTCGCCCCCCAGCACGGCCTCGGGGTGCTTCCTCACCTCTCCACAGTACTCGGAGATGAACTCGTTCTTCTGCACCGGGTCTTTGATGAAGATGCCCCAGCCTGCCACATCCGAGGGAGCCAGCAATAAATGCTAAGGACAAGACAGTTGCAGAACAAGACAGTCATGGGTCAGCGTGAGTGATTCCATCGACCCAACACAGTGGCACCAGCTTGCAGAAGAGGGAGGTGGCCTTTGTCCTGCCCCTCAACTCCTCAGCCAGGAGCCCAGGAATGAAGGGGTAGGTCCCCATATGGACAGGCACACAGTACACCTGGACATCCACAATGCAGGGAACTCCTGCTGGAAGAAGCTGTTCAAAGCAAGTGTGTCCATCATGTGATAAAAGCGTCAGTCAAGTGCACAAGTGCCCGTGTTCTGAGGCTGGTGGAGAAAGTCTGGTGGCATGGTAGTTAAAGCACTCAGATCCAAACCTAAAGATCTGCAGTTGGACCCCACCAGCAGCTACGTGGAAGAAAGACCTGGTAAGCTGCTTCCGTAAAGAGCTCAGTTAGAAGCCCCGTGGGACGGTTGCGCTGTGTTAGGTGGGGTTGCTAGGGGCTGCACCTTCTGAGCAGCACCCAACGCCACCGTAGCTGCAGAACCAGCTGTGCACCCAAATGCTGGCCCGGGGGAAAGCATGTGGGGACAGCACCGTGGCTGACAGCACAGGGCCCAGGGGTGATGGAGCTGACACCTGCCCTAGTCACAGAACAGGGCACTCACAGCAGCGTCTGATGCACAGCTAGTGCTCCACAAGGGCCAACTGTCACTGTCCCCAACGGGACTGATCCAAGACCCATCTCGACACCTTCCCCACACACAGCGCTCAGCTTGCTCAGTGACTGACCCCATCAGCTGTGGTGATGGCGGCATAGAGGCCGTGCACACCGTTGATCTGCTCAGAAAGCGACAGGAGCGCACCGTGTGGGAGGCTCTGGGAAAGCCCCCTACACGCACCCCCGCGAGAGTCGGAGCAGCGCTGCTCCACGAGGCGAGCCCAGGCTCAGTGTGCTCAAGCGCCTCTCCAGGACACTCTTCCTAGGTGCCGCTGGGTGGGCTCGAACCATTCACACCCCCCAAGGACCCGTACTGCTGTTGACTCATTGAAAAGCACCGACTGCTGAGGAAAATTGTCTCCTTCCAAATCCAACACCATGAGCAGCTGATCCCACATGGGAGGAAGACCCTGGCCTGGCAGCAATGCACCCACAATCTACCCGCCCTCCCCTTCTCAGAGCCCCTCCATGGCCCAGCGGCATCACGCCTGCCACCCGCCTGCCCTCACCTTCTTGGAGCCCCTCTGTATGCTGCAGTTCTTGCAGGACACATTCTTGCTGTCCCAGTGATCGGCAGCCCCACACGTCAGGCACAGGTCAGGGTCACACTCGCGGACCGCCAGGTAGCATGGACACTGCTTGGTGTTGCACTGGGCTTTGCATCGACACCCAGGGAAGCGGTTCTGGCCTGGGGGATAAGCCCGTCCCTCATAGTCATTGCCACTGCCAGCACCACCACACTGGATGTCCCACCCTCACTCTACCTACCAACCACTGTGTCACCCAGAAATTAGTCCCTTTCCATGTTATGCCAACTCTGCTAGGATTGAACTTACATGAATCAAATAAAACCAAGAAGTGAAGTCCTTTATCACAAGATACGTGTTGGCTATGGTGCGCACACACACACACACACACATCACCCAGGAGACCAGTCAGTGATTGCCACACATACACACACAGACCCCACCCAGGAGACCAGTGAGCGCACGTACACACACATACCCCCCCCCGCCCAGGAGACCAGTGACTGCGTACGCACACACACACACACACCACCCAGGAGACCAGTGAGTGCACACACACACACCACCCAGGAGATCAGTAAGCACATGCACAAACACACGCCACCCAGGAGACCAGTGTGCATGCACAAGCAAACACACACACACACACCCCCCGCCCAGGAGACCAGCGAACACATACACACCCCCCCCCACCTAAGAGACCAGCGAGCACACACATACCACCCAGGAGACCAGTGAGTGCACACACGCGCACGCACACACATACCACCCAGACCAATGTGCACACGCGCGCGCGTACACACACCACCCAGGAGACTAGTGAGCGCACACGCGCGCGCGCACACACACACCACCCAAGAGACCAGTGAGCACACACACGAATAAACACACACACACCCCCCAGGAGACCAGTGAGTGCATACACACACACACACACACATCACCCAGGAGATCAGTGAGCATGTGCACACATACACACAAACACCGCCCCGGAGACCAGTGAGCACACAAACACAGACATCACCCAGAAGACCACTGAGCATGCATGTGCACACACACAATCACCCAGGGGACTAGTGAGCGTGCACGCACAACACACATACACACCACCCAGACCAGTGAGCGCAGGCACGCATGTACGTGTGTGTACATTACCAAGGAGATGAGCCGGCACAGTGCTGCAGATGGGCTCGGGAAGGTGAGCTCCTGTCTGCACACAAGTTTACGTCAGGCCCAGACCCACGCCTAACACGGTGCACTCACACTCAGAGCTGCACTGGCAGAATTTCTCACAGAAGTTCTGTGCGATCACACAGGGGCACGAGCTGTCGCAGGGCTGCCGAGGATGATCGCAGGGCTGGTAGTTGTACACGTGGTTCGAGGAGCCATCTGCTCAGACAACAGACACGCCATCAGTCTCAGGAGAGGCCACCCCGCACAGCTGGCCTGCCCCTCAGCGAGTTTTCTATGCCATAGTTGGTGTCACTCATAGCCCTGGTTACAGAGTGACAACAGAACGCCACCTCCCAGTGCACGTGCTCCTGGACTAATGCAAACCCCCTCATCTCGGTGCGACTTGCAAGCACTGTTGATGTCCCACTGCCAACGTGCCAGGGTCACACCCAGGAGAGCCATGTGGAGCCTCCAGGCGTCCGTCATTACAGCGGCTCAGCACACGGCCCCTGCACCTCAGACACCACCTGTCAGCCCAGTGCTACTCCAAAGCACAGGGACGGGAGGTGCTGACCTTTCTTCAGCTGTATCTTTCTGCAGTGGGCCGCCCACAACCTGCAACAACAAAGAGAAGAAGCAAGGACAGGATTCCAGGCAGTGAGCAGACTGCAGGAAGTAGGGGTACAGAGGGTGACCCCTGCACCGCAACGTGAGCACACCCGGCCACCCCTGCTGCTCCAGAGCAGCGCCTCAGGCAGCGGTGCTCACCCCGCCCCAGTGGCCCACCTGACAGAGCTGTAAAACCCTAAGTCACTGAGGGAAGCCTCTAGGACCAGGGAGAACGGCCACCCGCATTTCCTCCAAACATACGGGGTGCACACCGTTCTCAGGCACAGTCCCCTCGCCAGGGCCGATCTTCCTAAAGAGAGGGTTCTGAAGCCCCACCCCACGGTGCACCCCCACAGCCCTGTGGACAGCATGTGAAGGCACGGGCTGCCGCCTGGAAAGGCAGGCTCCCAGAAGGACACACGGCTCAAACTGCCGTGACGTGTGCGTGTGCCCCAGGACTTGCCTCTGGGGCCTGCACTAGAGGGACCGGTGAACGAGTGGTAGAGAGCTGCTGGCCGTGGAAGACACCCTGGGCCAGCTCCCAGTGCTGAGGACGCTGCAGGCCTGACTGCGGCCACCAGGCTGCAGCAGCCCACTCACCGGTGTTTCCTCTTCTTCTTTCTGGGAGGCGTGTCAACGTCCTCGGCTGGGGCAGGGGCGATGATGCTGGACTCCTTGACCCTGAATTCATAGACCTGCCGAGAGGCCAGGCACAGCCGTGAGGAGCCGACACGCCAGCCAATGGCCTTCGCACTCATGCCCGCAGAGCCTCGCCCCCCGTAGGGCACTGCCCTGGACTGGGGACACCGCCCCTTCCTTCAAAGGAACACTGCCATTCAGAGTTCTTGCCATTGTTTAAATCCTAACCTTAAGTATCTCAAATGGAGAAACTGTCAACAAACCTGAAAAATAGTTTAATACAAAAGTATATTTTAATCCTTTTGACGTGAATAGGGGCTGGCAGTGCCCCATGCACCCTGTGCTGGGACTCAGAGGGCTGTCCCTGAGGAGAGCTCACCTGTCTGCACGTCTTGGTCCCGATTAGCCTCGCAATGGCACAGAAGTTGTCGTAGTAGGTGCCAATGAGGACCCGGAACATGGAGGCCTCAGCCCCACTCCACTCCACGCTCTCGGGGGGCTCAGTGTTTGGCTTCATCTTGATTGGTGTTTGGCACCGAGAATTTGCTTCTGCGGAACCAAAACCATCGTTCAAGAAACACCATCCGAGCAGATTAAGTGAATAAAATCAAGGGTCTGCTAAAAAGGAATGTGAGACAGAGGGAGAGAGGGAGGGAGAGAGAGAGGGAGGGAGA